GAATGGTTCTTGCTGAGAGTATTGGTCCTTATCTCAGTTTATGTACGAAACACATGTTAAAAAAGGCACATAACACGATTTATATGAAGATTTTCAGAAGATAATCAAAGTGAATACAATTGGCGAGTGAAATGCGATGGATGAGCTGTCTCTGCCTTTGATTTGCAGACCTTCATTTTCATGGGAACTAGTTATCATTTGGCAGGACAATGTTGCATTAGAGTACTGCAACAAGGTGTGATACAAATATTAGGCTGTCAATATTGAATAGGCATTGACGGCAGCCATGTGTACATTGTGTTCACATACAAATGCATATACAAATATTTAACTGTGAACTCATCAAAATCTAGAAATGACAACATGGTAACTAAGTAATGAGTACATAAGCAGGGTAAGATAACACTTCAGTATTTCAACAGATGAACGACACAGGGGTGGAAGGAATACTTTTGTGTGTGTGTGTGTGTGTGTGTGTGTGTGTGTGTGTGTGTGTGTGTGTGTGTGTGTGTGTGTTGTGTGTGTGTGTGTGTGTGTGTGTGTGTGTGTGTGTGTGTGTGTGTGTGTGTGTTATGTAATAGGACATGTGTTTAAGCATTTTAAGCACAAATATGTACTCCGTTTGTTTATGAACAATTTGGAAATTAGGATTTCACTGTTCAACTTTCCATTGGACATTAATACTATAATTCAGGACAGGAGATTATTCCTTTCCATATGCTTGCTTGGGTTTTTTAAAATAGGAGGACATGGTAAAAATACGTTACAATGCGATGATGGTGTCAGTTCCACAATGACCCCACCTCCCTTCCCCAGCCAAGAACAAAGTTATTTTCGTTTTCCTCTTCACATTTTCTTCTTCTTCTTCTTCTTCTTCTTCTTCTTTCCAATTTCACGATCATCAACTTCACTCAAACACATATGGACTCTAAACACTGTAGCAGCTAGCTACATTACCCGTGAAGTGCTTGTGCACTTGGGAATATATGGGATATGGGAAGATTTGTATTATCCCTCGAAAAAGAAGCCCTTTCTGGTGATTTATTATTTTGTTTGCACAACTTGGGTCCCTATGTTGTAGTTAATGCCATTATTCGTAATGGTGATAATAACATTGTCTTGACAAATGAACTATCTCGATCTGGGAATGCTGCAACCCAACGTCAGATTACCTTCTAGTCCCTACTCTTTTTGCAGCAATACAGTTGTTGTATACTGGTAAACTTCCTGGCACTAGCTTTGCTCTTTGGTTATGTTTTAGCAACATTAAGATTCAAGTCAAGAGATGCAAACAGTCGGACAATCAGAAAGGATGGTTTGTAGGCTTGCCAAACTTATACGGTTGGAAAAACAAAGATGAACAGTACCGTCCTTATGATAGCAGTGCTTGTCCACACGTTTTTCTGTAAGTGGTTTGTACTTTACATAACCCTAACCCTAACTCAGCTGTCTAACCATCTGACTGACCTATCTGTTCACGTGTTCCCAGATCTCAGCAATTACTTGTAGGTACAAAGTTATCATAACTGACACCAATAATGGCTGAAACAATAACAAAAATAGACCCAAGTTGTCATGAACCATCTTTTTTTCTTTAGCAATCCCCAATTTTGCTTTTACATAACAATCTCAGGGATCTTTACCAATTCCTTATTCTTTATCTAGTCGCTGTCTCTATCTCTGTCTTCATTCTCCTGCAGAGCCTCTTGGCTGTCTTCCTCTTCATCCTCGTCAGCTTCTTCCTCATCCCCTCCTCCATTCATCATCTCCATCTCAAGCTCCACTGCGCCCTCCTCCACCTCCCCATCCACTCCACTGAAGGCATCAGCATCCTGGGACACCTCCACCATCTCGGTTCCCTGGATCACCTCTTCGGCACCCTCACGGATTTTCTTGACGTGGAAGGTGAAGGGGGGCACCTTGTACACAGCAGTCTTTGAGCGGGCGTAAACCACATGGTCCGGTGTGAAGGACTTCTTCACCTTCTCACGGGATGTCACGATCTTCTGCTTGCGATCAGGGTTGACACTCATCCGTGTTCCGAGCTTCCCCATCTTCTTCTCGATGTTGTGACGTGTCTTCTCCAGATTGTCCTTGGTCTTCTGTTTGGTCTTCTCCAAAGTATCCTTGGTTTTCTGCTTGGTCTTCTCCAGGTTATCTTTTGTCTTCTGCTTTGTCTTCTCAATGTTTTCCTTGGTTTTCTGTTTGGTCCTCTCCAGGTTCTCTTTGGTCTTTGCTCTGTTCTTATCCATCTTCTCCTTTGAGAAGACCGTCTTCAGGGTTTGTACACGCTGCAGGCTGCTTCGCTTGATGCGCTCGGCGCGGGTCTCCTCGATGGTGTCCTCGATCTCCAACCCCTCCTCATCTGACGAGAGGTCTACATGGGGTTTGTCTGCCTTCTCTGCTTCCCCTGCCTCCTCCCCTTCCACAACTTCCTTCAGCTCCAGCATGCTGCCTCCTCTGCTTCCTGACACAGACTCAGAAACCCTCAAGGATTTGGAGATGCTGAGTTTTGAGGGAACCTTCACTTCATCCTGTGGAGAAAAGAACATCATTTTGTTTATGAAAGTATTGTTAATGTAATTTAGCAAAACCAGAAAAAACGTTTAAACAGGAAATGACGGTTCACGACAGGCTTAAACATTTTGGAAGTCCCAATAACATAAAAAACGAGTATAAAAGGTTGAAGGAACTGGAAAATCACTGAGAAGAATACATCTTGAGAAATGAATCTGCAGCAACTTCAACAGTATAGTTACTGTATAGTCAAATTACTGCAGATTTTGATTGTTTAGTGGATGAGATTGTAAAGTTTTTCATAATATAATATTTTTGCATGTATTCATTTCTATTTGGGCAATTACCCATTCTCTTTCTGCACAGGTACACACAGGCTCACTGTAGTGACTCACCAGTCAAAGTTTGCAACACAATAGAGGCATTAGAGATGTGGACTGATACAGTTTGGGAGCAAGATCTAGAGGAATCAGTAACAAGACTCCAGGGTGCACTTCATTATGTCATGCCAGAGGGAGAAATGACAGGGAAGAATGTAAGACAAAGGGATGGAAAAATGGAAATAGGTTGGGGGGGTTTCCTGGGAGCCGTGAGCAATGTGTTAAGAGTTACAAAGAGTACAAAGCTGCACATACCTGTCCACACACACACACACACATACACACACACACACACACACACACACACACACACACACACACACACACACACACACACACACACACACACACACACACACACACACACACACACACACACACACACACACACACACACACACACACACACACACACACACACACACGTTAAGGGGAGGGGAGAGCTGCACTATGTTCCCGTCAGGATCAGGGAGACCTGAAGTTCTGTGGTCTAATGTTCCTAGTGTTCGTCCATAAACAGTGTATCATCAAACCAAGACAGAATACAAAGACACACACTAATGCTTGTTGAAAGCATATTGAGAGTGTGTGAGTTCGTCAGCCTATGGGCATGCATTTTGTGTACAAGTTCACGTCAGTACACTGAACAAACTGAAGCCTTGACTTTAATTAAATGTATTACGTAAAATAATGTCACATAACTGTATTAGGTTAGTTGAAAGCAATACTATTACATTTTTTATCTAAACTTAATATTATTGCTTTGTCCAGAGACAGACAAGTGCTCTGCTGTCCCATGTTCGGTCTCAATTCAAGACAGAAATGTCCAAAATGTCCAAAGTCAAGACCAAGTCCAAAACTTTGTGTAAAAGGCCTAAATGAGTTATTATGCCCCTTTCACCAAATTCAATGCCATTTTGAGTTTGGAGACAGAGAAACAGTTAGTCTGTATTGTATACATCTTGATATTTGTAAATAACAACCATTAAATAAACAAAATGTCAATGAATGTTATAATGGAAATTCAAAAATAACTGCATTTAGAAAAAGTACTCCAACTTCAGTTCCAACTGGAACAATTTCAGAGGGCATGCTGCTGATTGATTAGGGCAAATAAAGAATACAGACACAGCATTAGGACATTAGCAACATGATACAGTATGAGGCTAAAATGGTGAACTAATACTAATTATCAAACTATGACCATAGTATTTACAGTATAGTCAAGTCTAGACTGGTGAGATAGGACATATGGTGTAAGGTTAAGCTTGGTAATATTACACTTAATATGGGCAGTCTTTCCTAAAGGGTCATCATAACAAATGTTCAGAATTCATTTAACTGAGTCATATAACATATTACGTTTCCACACCCAAAAATATGGACCCATTACATTTCCGTCACTCCATGACCTTAATACAAAAACATGAGATTGCCATGCAACTTGCTCATTGGTTGAGAAATGTTGATTTTATTGATCAATATGGCATTTCCACTAGCATCCCCTCAGGACAAAGCAGCCCTACTACCATCCAGGCTCTAAGAAGAGACGCTTCGTCATTCTGTGCTGTGTGTTATGAACCCTTCAGCTTTAGGAGCCACTAGGTGTTTGTTGCAACATAAAAGTCTTGCTCAGCACAGTTTTGACACCTCCTGTACAGATTACCACGATACACTGTACTGCAAGTAGGACAACCTGACCTGGCCCGCCCAGATAAAGCATTCCTGCACAGCACCATGCTCACCTCCTTCTGCCATCATACAACCCTCCATTTCCCCCCTCCTCCATATCCTATGAACCTTTTTCACTTTCCTCTGTTTGCCTTGCAGTTAGGGAGCCTTTCTTTGTGCCTCCATCACCTCGTAAACACAATGCTCCGGCCTGTAAATGAAGCCATTTAAGGAGGGGTGAGGAAAGCGGCTCTTCCTCTTTCCATCACGGCAAATCCTCGTCCAATTGGGCTCCTGAATGTCTGTGTGAGGGCCAATACTTGTTGTACGTACTGTATTGTCTTTTCTTGTCCCTCTACACCGCCTCTACATTCAAAACAGGAACACAGACACAAAGGATCACAGGGAGGGGGGGGCTAAGGTGTGGAAAGG